GTGGGACGTACTGTAATGCGTTATATTGAAGTTGACGCCTAACCGCTACAGTATGCGGTGCAACTCGTCCCCTGCCACGCCTGCGTCTCGAAGTTCGTCGCGCGACGGGCCTCCTGGGGTGGGGGAGCCCATTCCACTCATATATCCTGGAAAATGGATGCTGGCGGAAACAGCCGCCACTTGATCGAGTCATGATGTTCAGTTTTCCGTACGGGTTTTCACGCTATCTTCGGAACGTCACTCATTCACTGGGTACCCCTCCAGAAAGCACTTCGATGTAAATGAGGGGACATTAAATTAACCCGTGGAGGGATAAATGGATGACAGAATGACAGCTCACACTTTCAAAAAAGGACTTTCACCACTATCCAAGGACTGAGAACGAAGCATCCATTGAATATTCAAATATTGATTCACTCGATGGAAGGACAAAGAGCTCAACGGTCACAATCCCTCTTTGGAATGCGCCGTGCACTTGCACTCCGCTCAAAGCCGTGGGTGATTCTGATGGGTGGTACTTGAACCAAGTGATGAGCTGCGTTAGCCAGTTGATGTTTCGTCCAGTGTTCATGGAATAAACAGATTCCGGATTAGCGGAAAGCTCGAGTGACTCGAGTGGGATTCGATCCAGCATTTGACGACCGGAGCATGCCTGCATTACCGGCGCTACTTGCCACTGCTTCATTTCTCAGTTTTTTCTTACCTAGGCTTACCAATCTACCCCTATCTGGCAAGATTTGCCTTCGTGATGTTTGCACCAGGTCAAGGTTTTAATACATCGGCCACAGAGGTGGCCAGGTCGCAAGGCCCCAATAAGCTACTAATCGCTACTTCGCGGTTTTAGAGCACGTTTAGGCCGATCTTTCATTGGGAATTAAGTGATCCATACTAATTATTGGTGACACTTACCTCAATTGTTTAGGACCCATTCAACAAATGGAGGAAAGCGTAAAAGGTGGCTCAGGCAATAAATGACTGCGCTGCATCATTATAGTACCATACAGTTCTCGTTGTAGGGCCATTAGCTTTGGGAATTATCACCCAATTTTTAGTACCAGTACTTTTTAATTCTCCTTCACTCAAACCTCAAACATGGAAGCTTCAATCAGTAGGACTATTTTACAGCAGGGGTCGTGGGTCACACCGTAGCCTTTTGTGTACTTTTCTGAAGGTTTTGCGAGTTCCACTCGTAAAGGCTCACATGCGACCACATCTCACCTTAAAGCAACAATCCAGGAACGAATTCGCGGGTAAGGACCACCTATAATGACGTTGCAGGTGAGAAGTTGGTCAATGGAGAAAGAAAAAGTAGAAAAAAACGTCGGGCAGGGGCTTAGACAGGGACTCCCCCTGCCGTTTAGGGAGACGTGTGTTGGACGAGTTGTCCGAACCTGCCCGTAGTACATGCGCTCCAATTGCAACTGCTGGCAAATAGCTGCATGCTTGCAAATACATAACTATTTGCCAGCAATCGAAATTGAAGCGCTTCAATTGCGTTCTTATGGAATCGACCTCATACAGCGCGGCGGTCCCGCAACGACCGCTAGTCGAGCAGCGCTCTGCACAGCTGCTTGGAGGCGGCCCCACCACGGATCGGTGGATCCGCCCCTCTTTGAAGGATTTCGACTGCTTCCAACGCCTTTCAGAGGTAAGTTTTGAAGTTTGTGACATTTCCCATGAACTCCAATCAGGCTGAGGCATGTTTCCACCACTTGAAAACCAAATGTGTTGAAACCCTGCCTGGACTGTTGCTTTAACGACTTCCCAATACGACACTCCTCCTTTGCTCGACCATCACCTTCACCATCTGTGGCTGTTTCCATTGCAGTTTGATTCTGAGAACCAGTCGAATACACCAACTAGTGACTGCCTTTTTTTCCTCCAGGGACGAGTCTGTTCGAGGTGGAGATGAGGGGAAGGTAGTGGACGGGGCGAATGCCCCCCCCCCCTCGTTCGAACATGTGACGGACGGTTGACCCCGTTTACGCCTCCTTCACACAAATTTTAGTCTGAACTCCATGTCATTCACCCTTGCGCTTTCCAAGCCCATCCACCGCCAGTGGAACTGGAAGAAAGACCCTTTCCCCCAGCAAGCCAATCACAAACCACCCCCCTTACTTCTGGGCCTTGCCCCCCGACCCAGAGCTCGCCCTTCAAGTAACACACCTTGAAGCTTTATCTCTTCCCCGATTTTTCACCTTTTCTGAAATTCTTTCGCAGAATGACATCTCTAAGTGGAGACTTTTAAGCCGAGCCAAGCAATATTCATCAACGCAGCTGCAAAGTGCAGGCAGGAAGTTGGCAGCTAGTGGAAAAACAAAACTGAAGAAAATAGGAAGAAATTCGATTTCACAAATCGATCCTCATTTTTTCCTCGTTCTCTTAGGTCGGCTTAACAAGCACTCACTGCAGTTTTGCACAACAACACAGTGCCTTCCAGCTTTGACTAAACACATGGTGCCGAAGTGTCAGTTAGTCTAAAGGGGTGGGGAGGGGGGAAGTCAGAGTATTTGCTTATCTGCAAGAATTCAATTAGTAGCAGTGAAAAGCAGGCGGCAAAAAGGGCTCTGAATAGATATCGAATAGACTCAGGATTTCCAAGTGTTGTTTTCGTACGCCACCGATTTCACAGTTGGATGCACAGGCAGCCGACGAGGAGTGCTGGGGCGGGGGGGGGGGAGAGCGGGGGTGCGCCCAATATTTCAAATTTCAAAACGATTTTGAGTGGCAGTAGTGTAACACGGGGGCATCATGTTGAACCCCAGATAATTTTCGAGTTCGACGTCCTCCTACCCCACAAAGAACCCTGGCTCTCTTCAATGTCTAGCTGTTTATCACCTGAAATATGAAGAAGATCATGAATATTTGAGTCATGACCTAGTCGTTGGAAGTGTAAACACGGTAGACAATCAATCAGCTACAGATGGGCAATTTGAAAACATGTGTACGGCGCACCCCACATGCTACTATCGAGTATTTCATGATATCAAGATGGTATCCATTCTGAACTTCTGTACATGGTTTCTGTGACTGGGGTTTCATCAGCCGGCCTGTCAACCTGGGCCTGACGCTGGTACTAGAACCATTTTTGCAATTTTTGCAAGGCATGGTTAAGCCTCGGCAGGGATCGAACTCGCGGTTTTCAGAGGTGCAGACATGAGCCTACCCTGTAACTGTTATGGGAAACATCTTTGGCAGCCGTTCATCCTTAACATAAGAACACTGAAACGGGAAATTTGTGACAAAGGCGGTGACTTGAAATGATTCAAAGCAAAAAATACCCTCTCGATCGACCTGCCAATCGATATCGTTATTCTGCATCGATCGATGGGCAGGGAAAGCATTTCCACATAACCGATCAATAGTCGAAAAATAATCAATTGTTGCTTCCCTGAATAGCAACGTTTTTCGCAGACCTATGAGGAAAACCCTGCGAACGAACCCAGCCCAGTCGTGATTTTCGAAAAATAAGATTACTTAAAGGTTCTTTAAAAAAGGCCGATATATTCTTATCTATTTCGGGCAAGCAGCGTTGCTACGAAGTATGCGTTCCGAGGATCGAGTCTCAACGCTTCCCGAATCTGCCATCTCTCAGTGGTTCGTAAAATGATATCAGACCCGAAGCTATAAGGATAAAAGAATTGATTTGTGCATTATTGGGCACCAAAGATTAGTTTCAAGATGCAATTGCGAGCTCCACTTCCAGAATGGAGGTTGAGTGCATGGCGCAATCCAAGAAGAGTCGGTGAACAGCAAGGCCTTCAGTTTTCCATACGATAGTTTCATCGATAATTATGTGTAGAGGATCATGCATAAGTAGTGTCCATTTTGAACACGGGTTCTTATAACATTTTTAAAATTATTTTTATTTATTCTCGAACAAAATCTCAGTATCGATCCATCACCTTTGAGAATATCATGGCATCAATAGGAGAATTTTTTAAAATAACTTTTGTTGTCCACTAAGTTGTCACTTATATTTTGAGCATCGTACCCCTTCATTTTATATTACTCATTTTATTTTTGGGTAAAAGTTTCGGAAGAACTTTACTTTTCTTTGAAGAAGAACAATAAACAATAAACTTTCATTTCCCATTACATCATTACTTGGGTCGTAGATTTTTTAGAATCAAAAAAATTTTGAAACACAATAATTATTTACAGCCTCCAGCCATCAGAATCCGATACTTGCCGTCAAGAGTAACAGCTTAGCAGTGCAACCTTCTGATTCCCAACGCTACCCCGACTCCTGCATCTTTTCATTTGCTATCACCCGAACTCACGCTTAACTGATGAATTTGGGGTCTATTCCAGTTAGGGGGGCATCATGATGCACTAGTGAACTAGAGTGAACTCGAACATTCTAGCTTTTCATGCATGTCAAGTGACTGCCCTCACCCCCCACCCCCGTAGACTGGCTACAACTCCCCTGGCTTAGAGTTTCCCTAGCTTTCCGAAAAAAAAAAACTGCGTCATAATGCCCCCCCCTAACTGGAATAGACCCTGAATTCGATTTTTTGAAATTAATTTCAATTAGGTAGCTTTGAAGCATGAACGCAAATTGGGTCCATCTGCACTGATCTCAACTATCGCTTGTTCTCCGAATAAGAACGAGTTCCCATAGTTGGCCAACGTACAAATTTTAATTACTCACATTTATTATGCACACTCTCTATACAAAAATACATCTTCAAAAATATCCATACAATAAAATAGATCACAAAATAAACACGTACATTTGGTAGGGAGCTCCGCCCCGGCTGGGAAGATTGAGAGGGCAACCGGCTTGGGGGTTCTGATGAGGCGATGTCGCTGACAAGCCGGCGAATCGCCTCATTTAGCGGCTATTGATGCGGCTCTGGGGATTCACTGGCTGATATGCAGACGGCCATACATCAGAAGACTTGAGGAAGCAGACTAGAGCATGTGTGAGGAGCAGGAGGAGTAGAAGAAGTGAAACCCGTTAGAGAAAGAGGAAGCGGCTGGATGGCGATGGGTGACTACAGTCTGGTTGGGAAATCGGTAGCCAAACGTTGGTAGGTGTGACTCATGAGGGGGCCGTAGCGTTTGTAGCCGATTACGCCCAAGAGAAGCAGACAGATAATAATGATAGAGAAGGCGAATGTGCTCACCAGGACCGGAATAAACTGAGCGGTTGAATTTCGACAGGGGGTTACCCCGGTAAGGTAGGGTAACAAAGGATACTGCCATGAGCCAGAGAAACAGTAATAGAGCTGTGGATCGGTGATCTGTGTCTGGTTTAGAAGGTGCGGTACGATGTCGTGCAGGCTGCAGTCGCATCGCAAAGGATTTGTGTCGACTCGAAGGTCCCGAAGAGAACGCAGTCTGGAGAAGTTCCGAGTGAAATGCAGGCGATTCTCGCCCAGGTCCAAGGTGGACAGGTTGGGTGGCAGGTCGTCAGCGTTCATGTTCACGATCTGGTTCCCACGAAGCAATAGCGTTCGCAAGGACTGAAGGTGTGACAGGTGCAGGGCTCGTGAAAGATCGCAGTAAGACAGGTCGAGATCAGTCAGGCCGGTCAACTCGTCCAAATGGTCCGACCAGCAGCGCTCCTCACATCGCGTGAAAATCTGTGGATTGTTGGCCAGCTTCAGGTGCTGTAGCAGCGGAAGACCAGCGAATAATGCCGAATCCATCGTGACGAGATTATTGCTAGATACATCCAAATAAATAAGCGACGGTAATACAGGATGTGGCAGAATCGATAATTGATTGAAGGACAGATCAATAGAGACGAGCTGCATTCCCAGAGTGGGGAAGGCGAGATGATCGATTTCGCTGATCTGATTTCGGGAAACGTCCAGATGCTGCAGATTTGGGAATTGGGATAGAGCATGTGGAGGCAGGGAGGTGAGCAAGTTGGACGAGAGGGTCAGCGAGCGAAGTCGATCGAGAGCCACTCCGGGAGGCAGGATGGGCCAGTCAGTGAAGAGATTTCTGTCCAGGTGGAGCGCCTCCAGCGAGACCGCTTCCAGCCAGCTGGTCTCAAGCAGATTATCTCTAGCGAATACGGTAGTCAATACACAGTTTTTCAGAAGATGGAGTCGTTTAAGCCGTAAACCGGTGATGTCCAGCGTTTTCAACTCGTGGCCGCATGAGGACCAACTCTCGTCGTTGAGGTGCAGCTCAGCGTGGGAGAGATTCAGCGACTTGGTGCGGCTTTCATCCACCAGCCAATTGACGAATCCCGGTGGCAGGTGAGTGTAGGAGAAGTCGAGGTGGGAGGCGTTGGTGAGAGCTGTGAGAGCAGAATTGTCGATTCTAAGCCGATTATTGGAGACGTCAAAGGCGTTGAGTCGACCAAAATCAGCAGCAGAGAAGGCCAGAATACGACAGCCAACATCCATTGGACAGGTGGTGGAGGGGTGGAATACGATAGCCGAGGAGTTGATGAAGGCCAGATTTGCAGCGGATAGTAGGAGCTGCTCAGATGGCGGCAGAGAGACGGTGCTTGTCGAGAGGGCAAGCGGATTCCCGCTGAGGTCAAGTTGTTCCAGCACCACATTCTCGGCCAGTACTGGCGAGAACTGTGAGAGGTTCGAGAGGCGATTCCTAGATAAGTTGACGACCCGAAGTCGCTTCAGACTCCGCAGAATAGTGGCGGGCAGAGTATCCAAATGGTTCTCAGCCAAATCGAGTACCTCCAAATTAGGTAGAGGTAATAGCGAATGAGCCGAAAGGGACTGCAGGCCGCATCGGTTGATACGTAGCACTCGAAGTGCAGGGTGGAAGAGGAAGTGCGGAGGATGGGGTAAGTTGAGGCCGATCAAATGGACCTGTTCGATCCATGGGAGCAATGAGACGGTGCGAATCAGCAGAGTGGGCGAATTACAGGTCACTGACTTGGTGTGGCGATCGCAGGAGCAGTACGAGCAGATGTCAGCTCGGGAGGTGTAGAACAGGAGCGGAATCAATGCGAGTAGACGAATCATGACCGCCGGATGGATGATGGCCTGCCGATGGAAAGTGAAGAATTCGGCCCGAGGGGCGGGACAGACGCAGGGCGGAGGGCGCCTCGACCCCACGACGATAATCAGCCACCATGGCCACGCCTTCAAGGATTGTTGCCTTCGGGCTGCTGCTGCTACTGCTGCTGCACG